GCATGGTTAGACAGCTTTCAATCGATCAATTTGAAAATGAAGGCAGGCGGGTCAGTTATGGTACTCCGGAAAATGCAACTGCTGCTAGAAAGTTATTAGATCGGCAGATGTCCATCAATAGTGTGCCAAAAAAGGTACAGATTCATCTTTACAATTAGTTATTGAACATGAACAGCATAGTCATAAGTCATTAATTATATCTTACAAAAACTTCATATTTATTATTGTTAATGTTTCTTGACTATTTTATCGGCACTTCTTGCTTTATCTTGCATTAAGTTTTCTGATATTTTTGGGGTTTCTGTATGGTGTTGACTCACTCTACAATTATTTACACATTTCATGCTTGTTTTGTCTTATAATTTGATTTGTTTCTTATGGAGTTCCCTCACCACCTTTATAGGTCATAGCACACCTCTTGAAGCCTCGAGGATGGAAACCACCCGTGCGCCGGCAATTTTTCTTAGATTGTAATGAAATTGCTGATCTTTGTGATGGTGCTGAGCGGATATTTTCAAGTGAACCAAGTGTCTTACAACTAAGTGCACCAATTAAAATTTTTGGCGATTTACATGGGCAGTTTGGGGATCTCATGCGCCTTTTTGACGAGTATGGTGCACCGTCGACTGCTGGTGACATTGCGTAAGTTCCATGTTTCCCATTGATGAGTTTATTTGTGGATAATGGATTTATTTTGGTGTCTGCCTACTGATTTGCATAATGTGGACGATTTTCAATTGGTGCAAACTTCTGGTTCAGTTATTTAAACATGGTTATTGATGTATAAAGATGTCAAACTAAAACAACTACCAACTTTCTATATTTAGACCAGTTGTGTTTCTTTATTAATTTTCTTACCCTTGGGATATTGTTGAGTTCTCATCCCTAACCAATGTTTTTGTTGATTACCCCACACGTGCATGTTATAGTTATCTCATTTCATTTTCAATATTTTGTTCATGATACTGTTTCTTCACCCAATTACCCTAGCCCAATCTACTCTAAGAAAATGATCTAGTCTTTGCAGTTCGCAGTGCTTAGTTAGTTAGCACCAAAGTGCATGATTTTCACATAATTTCCTTTATTGGATGGTATAATGCATTTTCTTTTGTTGTATTTTTTAATATGTTCTGAATTGGAGTTATCCCGAGAGTTTGCATTGGATACCCTAGCTTTCTATGACGATTTAAGGGTTTATTGCTACAAATGGAGCAGAAGAGGCGATTAAAACAGCTGAGTGTTGGGAAATATGATACATTATCATGTGATAGGATTTATGAATTTTTTGTGGGTATTTTAATATAAACAGAGGTTTTTAAGTATCATTAATAAATTATATTTGCTTATGTTAGTAAGCCCTAACTAAGCATGGCAACAAAACCCGTACCCGTGGGTACCCACCCGAACCCGCACCGAAGTTGACGGGGGAAACCTGTTTTGACTGAGTTTGGGTTTTCCCCGATTATAAAATATGGGGACGGGTTGGGTAATGGGGACACTAGTTCCCACCCCGAACCCGTCCCGTTTATTTCATTATATATATTACTATTTATTTTTGATAATTTAAAATATTAAATATGTGGCCATTGTTTTGATAATTTGATGTATTTATTATTTAAAATATTTAAAATGTATGTATGAAATTTTTTGAGATTGTTTTATTTTATTATTTATAATATAATTTGATTTTTGAAAAAATAAATATTTCTACTAAAAAATTAATTTTACCAAATTGATGGTGGCGGGGCCGGGATACCCGAACCCGTTTGGAACAGGTTTGGGTTTTAATTCCCCATTCCTGTTTGGGTTTTGGGGCGGGGAACGGGGATTGGTTGGGGATTCGGGTTTGAGTTTGGGGAAGGTAAAAACCGTCCCCGACCCGCTCCGTTGCCAATGCCTAGCCCTAACCCTTATTCTACAATACTATTTGTCGAGACTCCCACATTGAATGTAATATGACTTGAAAAAGTGTTTATAAGTAAGAGGCGTCCTCTTACCTTACAAATTGGTTTTGTTAGGTTGAATTAGTCCCAACCCGGATTGGGCTACTCGTGTTACACTCTAGATGTCTATTCTTGGGCACAAAAGGGTTTATTGAGAGTCCTACAGTGGATGTGATATGAACTGAAAAGTGTTTATAAGTGAGGCATCCTTCACTTTACAAACAGGTCTTGTGGGGCCGTGTTTGGCTCAATTCATATTATAATACTATACTATTATAACACTAATGATTTAGGCATTTAATTTTCTCTGCTACTAATTTTGGATAAATGACTTTCAGATATATCGATTATCTATTCCTAGGAGATTATGTTGATCGAGGACAGCACAGCTTGGAAACTATAACCCTTCTTCTTGCCCTGAAGGTACTCTTAATTGTTTAGGTTGTCTTTCTGCATTGCAGGTTTAATGGCCCCATTGAGATTATGTATACATGATTTTGTGAATATTACAGGTTGAATATCCCAACAATGTACATTTAATACGTGGAAACCATGAAGCTGCAGATATTAATGCTCTTTTTGGTTTTCGAATTGAGTGCATCGAGAGGATGGTAAGGAATCCCTGCTCTGATACTGTTTCTTATTTATGTTGGGTACACCGACCAACCGTGTGAATTCTTGATCAGGGCGAGAGAGACGGAATTTGGACGTGGCATCGGATTAACCGGCTATTTAATTGGCTTCCTTTAGCTGCTTTAATCGAGAAGAAGATTATATGCATGCATGGAGGTATTGGTCGTTCAATAAATCATGTAGAACAAATTGAGAATATTCAGCGACCAATTCCAATGGAAGCGGGGTCAATTGTGCTTATGGATCTGTTATGGTTAGTGCATTTGTGTGCCATTGCCTGTTTATGATTGTTCTGTGTCCTGGATAATAACAGCATGAAATACTCCTTTCTAGGTCTGATCCTACAGAGAATGACAGTGTGGAAGGACTGCGGCCAAATGCTAGAGGTCCTGGACTAGTTACTTTTGGGGTGAGCGCTCCTTACCTGTCATTCTGTAAATAATGTAGTAATTTGGTAGTTTCAATGTGTCCAATAATCTTGCAATTCATGTGACGCATCCATTGAAGTGCTGCTGGAAGTGCTATGACCGCTGACACTCATTATTTGCTCTAATTTGTAATCTATGTTTGTTAATGGGTGTTATTTGAATTGTAGATCATACATGTGCTATTTGATAATCTTTTTTCAATTCATGTTTTCATGCTCATTTAATTTGGATTTTGGCACTTCAGCCTGATCGAGTGATGGAATTTTGCAACAACAATGATCTTCAGCTAATTGTCCGTGCACATGAATGTGTGATGGATGGGTTTGAGCGTTTTGCCCAGGGACATCTGATCACACTTTTCTCAGCTACAAATTATTGTGGTATATGATGCCAACTTTTGCACTGTATTTCGTCCTTAGGTCATGTTCTCTTTTAAATCTTGACTCTTCCTCTTGTTCCCTTAGGTACTGCAAATAATGCAGGAGCAATATTAGTTTTGGGTAGAGACCTTGTTGTGGTTCCTAAACTGATTCATCCATTACCGCCCGCAATATCTTCACCAGAAACATCACCAGAACGGCATATTGAAGATACATGGATGCAGGTACTCATACAAATATTTTTCATTTAATACTGATACTTATGTGATATCAGATATAAACCAACACATCTAAGTCAATTTTTAGTTTGTCATTTCACAGTATAAAAAATTATCATTAACTGTAAATAATGTACAGGAGTTGAATGCCAACAGACCACCAACACCAACTAGAGGCCGTCCCCCAGTTACCAACGACCGAGGTTCACTCGCTTGGATATAGTGATCACTACTGAGGAGTTCACTCACTTGGATATAGTGATTACTACTGAGGATGTCTGCTGGCACGCGCTATCGCTTTGTTTGTGTTCTGTATATAGCATGATGCCATTTACGGGAGTTTCCGAACCTGTGATCTTAATTCCTGCAGAAAGCTTGCTTTCTTAGTTTTGGTTCTCACCCCTCAATCAGCAGGCCTTGATAAAGAGAGATACAGTGCCACATGCAAAGTTGGTTGTGACTGCTAGGTTTACTTTCTCAAAGGTAGGAGTTGCGGTTCGGGTACACCCACCCTTTGTAAATTGAGCATAGGTTATGAAGTCAAGGTTGTGTTCTGTATCATGAATTGTCAGTGCTGACTATTTTTCTCATTCTTATACATTATTCACTTTTTGCCCTTAGGCTAATATTATTGTTGGGCTTTTTATTAATCAAGAGGATGGGTTTTTACGCAATGGTGAGATAAATATAGGTCCTTGTATCATATTTGTTGTGTAATTTTCTTTGTACAACTAATTTGTGTGAATCAAAATTCTCCAAGGAAGAAAGTGAATTCTGATAAAAGATTTGTGTGAATCAAAATTCTCCAAGGAAGAAAGTGAATTCTGATAAAAGATTTCGACCTATATAAGTTAAATGAGATGTTAATCCGAAATTTTGGCTTCATAATCATCATGGTAAAATTAACAAGAGAATAATAATTGGAAGCACAAACCATATCTAAACTAAATTTTAACAAGAGAATATCCAAAGTTTTGGTTTAATTATGGATGAGAAAAAACAATTTTGAAGTGTAAAATTGATTTTAAAATGACGAGGTTTTCAATTCTTCTAAAAAAATTTTAGAAATAATTTTGTCTAGATTGATTCTACTTAAAACTCCTGATGAACGAAGTTAAACACAAGTTTTGCATTTATATTCTACTTATATATATACTAACCAGAACAAAGTTTTTCATGAACATGTCTAACAACTATTCTACTTGGTATAAATGGAATCGATTATACACAGGTTCTGAAAAAATCATTTATAAGGCAACATAGATTAATAATTCCTCTGCATCAGTACTAGGTGTATTCCATTAAGATGCAATATGATTACAATATCAAACTGATACAAAGGGCATATGATTAAGTTTCTTGGATTCCTGTTAAATTCATCGTCTGCACTCAAACACCCTATCCTCTTTTTACAGGCCTCTGAACGTAGGATTTGTTGGGATCTTCTGTCTTGAGCTTAGGGGGGCGAATTTCTCCTTTTTTATTCTGCATTCATAACAACAACGTAATATTAGTTAAAAAAATATTTTTGTTCGAAGGTGTATGTGTCTAAGGAATACTTGGTGATACTAAAACCAGCAAACTTAATATCTTACCTTCTTTCCGCCCTTCATAAAATCTCTCCAGCTAGATACCTGATAGTGAAATTTGAGTCAAATACATCTATTTATTTTGATGGCATGACATTTTTTTTATGATAAGCAAAGATACTCCACACCAATAATAACATGTTACATTTTTTTACAGCAATGTATCATACACAAGAATGTCCTTAGTACCATTTTGATTACTTTCAAACTGCTGATGAAGAGTTAGTCAAAAAAAAAAAACTGCTGATGAAGAGTTAGTCAAAAAAAAAAAACTGCTGATGAAGAGCATGAGAAAAATTGACAGTGGATACAGCTAATATTAATACAAAAGTTTGTAAACAACCAATCAAATGGTTTCAAAATTTACAACTTATAGAACTTGATGGGTGGTTTCTCAGCCTTGCGGATAATATAAGAAAGGCTAGAGAAATATAACTGATTTAATGTTAAGCAATATAAATATAGATGCTAAGCAAATTTAAAAAATAAATGAAAATGTTAAATAATAATATCAAACTAGTTTTAAAAACTAGCTAAAAAACTTATGGCATAATATGCGAGAGTTAAGAAAACTCAAAGACAGGTGAAGTAGAAAAGAACGAACAACTAAAAGTCAAGCTAATAAGATGACAGAATCTCCAATAGAGAAGAGGTTGGTGGCAGGCTTGGATATGGGGTTCAATCTTGTGTGTATCTCATTGAGTTGAAGGAGGAATCCATTCATACAAACAGACCAGCCTCCAATAACAGACTCATACTCAACCGATTCAAAGTGAATAGGCAAAGGACAAGATAGGCTTAAAATGTAACAAGAATTAGAAAAATTGATTCAATACACACAAGGTTCACACCATTGTAGAATCTGAAGAGGATTACATTTATGCAACCTTATCCCGGTGAATGACGAGGCTGATCACGTGGCTGTGGTAGTTGGTGACTACCAGATAACAAAACTCACCCTCTAAAATTTATTGCGTGTAGTTGCAACTAGATTAAGCCATTCACTAATTTTTATTAAAATGCTTGAAATTTCAATGAACCCACAAAAAGGGTTATCAAGCTTTATTATCCAAAGGCCACAAATATTACAACTTTGATTAGGACCTATGACTCAGTCAGAATATAGAATTGAGATCAGCTTTTGCAAACTTTACAAAAAGCATATTAGTTTGCAAGGACTCTTATGTGAGACTGATCTGGTGCATCTTCATTTTAAATATTTTTCTGAATAAATAATCTCACCACTCATGTACTGTCACATCAGTACTAAGCTTTTCTCACAGATAGCCAAAATACACAGAACACATATATCATTTGGTTATATTCTGGAACAATTTCTAGCTTAGTTATAAATATCATAGGCACAAATTTCAAAGGAAAAAAAATAAAAGAAAGAAATTAAGGTTCACTTTAAGATTCAAACACAGCTTGCAGTTTGATGTATAAAATGAAGTTTAAATAATGGAAAACTAACCCTCTTTTCTCTTGTTCCTTCCCATTGTTCTTCATGTTCACGCTTTCTTTTCCACATTTCCTTCTGTTCCTCTTCATCCTTTTTTAATCTGCCTTCCTCCTCTGATATCTACATAGTATTTAATATGCAAAAAGGTCACAACAATAATTCATGGAGTATACATTATCTCTCATGCCAAATTTTACACAGATAAACACAATCATAATGATATCACTTTCTTAACACTAGCACTTTTTGAGGACATACCAAATTTTGGGAGAAGAAAAACATCTATGTACTTGGTAAGCAAATGTTCTAAGTTAATAACAAAGCAAATCACAATAACATAATTTTAATATCTTGTAAATTACCAAACTAGACCGGTCCTTTATAGAAGCAATGAATCACTGTGATTTTAGGCGTGCATGGGAAAAATAACCATCATGTTCGTAATTCATTGAATTGCCTCAAACGCAAATAAACTCATACAACTCTAACTTCACATCGAGTATAACAACAATGATTTAATGTGGGTATGAGTGGATGGTGAGAAGTAAATAGAACATACCCTCATTTGCATTTTCCTTCTCCTCCATTCTTTTTCGGTTAATAGTTCACGGACTTTGAGTTTGAGCTCCTGCTTGAATTCTTCTGACTGTTCATATTGCTTATCATATTTTCCCTGATAAAGAAACAGAGTAGTTCTTTTAAACAAGCAAGGGTATATTGTCTCTTGGCTACTAATATACTAACTCTACATGATCAAAGTTTGGCAATGTCACCGCTTGTGGTATTGCATAATCAGACCACAAGGGTGGTGCAAGACCGACTCAAACAGACAAAATGAAATATGCTCACACGACTAGTATTCTAAAATTCTAGGTCGTGCTCTTGTGTGACCATGATAACCCTAACAAAACTATATGTACCTCATCAACTAAGGACTTCATTTTTGAGGCTGTATCCTTCCTCAGATGTTTCTTTCTCTTTACTCTAAGTTCTTCTGCAGGCCACATCAATGAAGAAAAGTTAGTTATTTTGTTTACATATGCCCTTGATCCCCCATGAAGAAGATATTTCTTCTATACAGATGGAAGTCCAAAAAACAGGAGCAGGATATATGGTAAAATTGTTGCAATAACATAAAAAATTCGACCCAAAGTAAAAGATAACAGGTTTTCAAGTTTAAAACACATTGATGAACTACCCCCATAGGGTGTATACTCTACACAGATGTATAACAAGTACATGGACAGACAGCCAAACAGAAACTTTTAACCTCGAGATTAAGTCACAAAATTCATCCTCGGATGCGAGACAATATCACACGTGATCTTTTAGCATTTAGGGAAAAATAATAAGGAATTTTTTTTTTACCATTAGATTGATAAAAATAGTTAACCAGGTTAATAAAGCACTATAGTCGTGTCATGTGATAACTTCTCTCCAAGGTATAAGTGGATTGTAGAATGAATTTGCACGTTAAGACGAGTTAGAATCTTCTCCATTTCTCAAAAGATATGGAAGGGCTCCACTGTGAGAAATATAGACACAAATAAAATGGATCCTAACCTGTGTAAGACATGAACAACTAGACAAGCATAAAATAAAAGACAAGCCAACACTAACCTTTTGCTGAATTAACTTGGCTAAGAAGATAATCTCTTTCATTTTCATCGAGTAATAATTGTTGGGCTTTTGCTAGTGCTGCATTAAAGTAAATAACACAACAAACATAAAAAAAAAAATTACAAACATGCAAAGAGTTAAAAACAGGATCCTATTTCCCAATGCTCAGGGATAGTAATTGCACCCAGCAATATACATATCATTCAAAATAATAACACTTCTATAAAATGCCACAGGTAGATTCTGCAGATTTCCTTCTTCGGCATCATATATGTAATATCACTGAATTGGTCAAGTTGCAGTCGAATAAAGATGAGAGCATGAAGAAGTAATCGAAACAGTATTATGTAGTACTGAACAAACAATTTAGTGTAGAACTATCTGATGGAACTGTTTATAACTATCTGAGAGGAAATGCGAGGTACCTATACACAATAGAACTTTTGAAAATTATCTTTCACTATCTTATGCCGAGGAAAGAAGGACCTCTCCCAATCTACCAGATTTTTCTGTCTAAATAGGATTCTAAAACTAGTTCCTCCATTACTGAATCCCCACTTTTACAGTTAACTTCATTGCACCACAAGTTTCAATTTATGTACATATTTACTCACTGTTTGGAAATTTGCAAATTCCAGGATATCAAAATACAGTAAACAAGTTTCAGAACTCGAGCTAGTTTGTCTAAAAACTAATTTGCTAAACGAGAGAGTAAATAATAACGATAACGATAACAACATGTTCAGTTCCATTTAGAATAACTATGAAGCATTCCTTAATTTACCTCCAAAAGCCTCCTTTGCTTGAGGATGTTTACATTTGTCAGGATGAACCATCAATGATATCTACAAAAAAAAGAAAATCACCCAAAGAGAATCTTATAAGATACGAACATAACATTTAACTGAAAAAACAAACAAACAACCTCATCACCTATAGAACAAAAAATTACCTTTCTGTATTGCTTTTTCACTTCGTCAATTGATGAATCGAATGATAGGTTCAAATGCTCAAATGGGTTCAACTTAAAACAAGCAAGAATCCTGTTTTAAAAATAAAATAAGAAAACAACTTTGATCATCACAATGCATAAAGTAACCTAATTTCTTATTTTCTGCATAACCATTTTGCAATTAAAACCAAAAAATACGAGAAATTCACCGTGAGATGCAATTAATAAAACCCTAATAATGAGAAAGCGAAAAAGAAAGATACCTAAGGACTTCATTGTCTCTTTCAACTTCGCTGACTTCGGCGAAGAAATTTTTGAGTAGTAAATCGTCATGGATGTTGGTGGTTGGGTTTGATTCTCCCATTTTTTCGCTTCCTTCTCAGGAATTGAATTCGAATCAGTTTTGGGTTTGGAACCAAATTCGTTGTTTCGTGAGCAACAAAATCAGATTCACCGATAGTGCTTTGAGACTCCGAGAATACGCTTAAACGACCGTCTATATCTTTAAACGACAGGTTTTAATACATTAGTCTCCATATAAATTAGGCAAAATACATTTTTTCCCCTTAAATTTATCACTTTTCTCCCTTAAATTTATCACTAATGTAACACTTCATTTCTAACCGGATTATATAAAATCAGAGTTATAAAATTTTCAATAAATAAATAGAATGTTACACTTTCAACTTGAAAACAACGACATTCAATCACCTAAAGTTCAGATACATAACACATAAAATTCGGATGAACCGATAACAATTTGTTTAGTCTTTAAAAACAAAATAACTTTTATAATTAAACAGCGAAATCACAATTTTCAACTCAGATGATATAACATTTTTGTCCAACTGAAACCAATTCCAAAATAACAAGTACTTAACGAAAACAACTTAAAATTCAGCGACAGAAGTAAAAGCAATAAGCATTCATCCCCCTAGTGTTATGTATCAGAGCGACGATTAGGGATGTCAGTTTGGACCTGTTAATGGGGATCCCCGCGGGGAACGCCCCGTTCGGGGCCCCAAAGATGGGGAATTTTCCCCCGTGGGGGCGGGGATGGGGAGAAAAATTCCCCCGAGAGCATTTCGGGGACGGGGACGGGGAATACACCCCCCGCCCCGCCTATTATTTTAATATAGTTAATTTAATATATATATTTTTGATTAGGTTTTTTAGTCATTTCCTTTATGTTTATTTATAAAAATAAATAAATAAATATTCATGTATTTATTAAGAGAGAGAAATGTAAATATTAGACCCTAAAATGTCAAATACTAGTATTTTTTAATAACATAATAAATATGTGAATTCTTTGTGCTTTTTATTTTTATAGAAAATATAAACATTTTAAAAAAATAAAATATTAATGAATAAATGTAGGATCTATGGGGATCCCCGCGGGGAACGGGGATCCGCGGGGAACGGGGAATGAATTTGATGGCGGGGAAAAAGATGGGGAAGTGTCCCCCCGGCCCCGCCCCGCCCCATTGACATCCCTAGCGACGATACTGTAACACAGTGGAAGAACTGACTTGGATGTTTTGTGTTTGATCGCATTTATTACGGATAGCAAGAGTCGCCACCGACTTTTCTTTTATCCAAAAAGAAAAACTGAAAAGAACAGGAAAGACCTTTCGAGATTATTTCTTGAGTTCGGGGGTAGGTTATGAAAAGGGAAGGTATTAGCACCCTTCCCATCTGTAGTTATCTACGGGCTCTTGGTTGCTTGCTAGATCACTTGCTTTTGTTTGAAAATGTGCTTGTGGTGTGGGTTTTAAAAGTATTTTGAAAACGTCTTTGTAATGGTTCTCGTTTCTATAAGAACGCATACAAAGTGTTGGTTTTGAAAATAATTCAAAAAGGTGTTTGTGGAATGTGTTTTTGAAAGTGATTTTAAAAAGTGTCTTTGTAATGATTCTCGTTTCTATAAGAATGCGTACATAGAGCTTTGTCTTTTGAAAATATTTCAAATGAAAGTGTTGGTGTGTAAAATGTTTTTGTTGTGAGCAAGCAAGCAGCTATGAGCGTCCTACCTACTCAAAAGGTCTAATGTTCTTTTCCTCCTCCTTTAGATGTTGTTATCTTACCATTGATTTGGTAAGAAGCCCAATCGTTGGATGTGAAGGGACGGACATGGGACGTTTGTATAGTCATAGAAGGTAACCTATGAGACGTTTTAGCAATATCGTTTAGGGACTAGATCGTTTACCGAAGGCAACATTGAGGGTCATCGAGGGACTACGATCTTTTATCAAGGATCTTTGCTAAAACGCCCATATTCGAGGGACATTACTATTTTTCCGAGGCAACAAGTGAGATTACCCTAAGGGTGCATGTGTGAATAGTGTGTTTGATTTGCATGCATTTAGTCTTTTATTTTTAGGTTGTCTACTTGTTGGTTTTTATCTTTCCAACATCCTAATTACTAACATTTGTATAAAAAAGCAATAAAAATGCAAAAAATAAATCCTACACTATTACAACCATATTGAATAGTAAGAAAATGTAAAGATAAAATAAAATAAAGAAAGGAAAATAAGCTTTCGATTTGGGCAGCAGAACCCTTCGATTCTGCGTCTCTGGCTCCCTTCGATTTAGCCTAGAAGTAGTGAGGGTGTGCCTTTCGATTTGGGCTTAGCCTGAAGCATGAGATGCAGTCTGCCTTTTTGCTTCCTTCGATTAGGGCCTGGAAGTAGTGAGGGTGTGCCTTTCGATTGGGCCTGAAATCAGCATGAAGTGCACTCTTCATCCCAAGTCCCTTGTTGTCTCCTTTGATCGGGGCATGGAAGTCAGTGTGGAAGCCTAAGGCTTCGTTTCATACTTCATTTCTCCTGTTTCTTTCATTTGGGATTTTAAATAGCAACATGGCCTGAGGCCTGTTCGCAGTGATTTCTGGCGAAACAACCGCTAGTCTTCTAAACAAATTTGATATGTATGGTTACTTGCAGGATCGACTAGATTGATCCTAGGACATTGTATTAACGTTAATCGTAATACTTTGAAGGTTTGTGACGTAACTCTTGTACATGTGTTTGTGTAAAGGCTTGAAATACAAAAGACTTCTAAAATTAAATCCAAATGTGAGGATTTGAATGTAAATACTTGGCAATAAAAAGACTTAAGACTGGAATTAAATGACTTGATTGTGAAGGAAAAAACCTTTTAAAAGAAATTTGATTTGTAAAGCTTTGCAAGAAAATGAAACAATTCAACAGAACATAAAGAAGTTAAGAACAAATAAAGAATGATTATGTTGTACCCCAAAATTTGCCCTCCTATTTTTCAAGAAATCACAACCCTAAGGTTTTTCTCAGATTTTCAAGATTGGCTCAGGAATCTATCAAACAAATTCTCCTATGGCAATGTTTACCTTGGGTTTTGGTAAACAACCGCTGATCCTCCAAATGGTTACTTATTTGGTTACTCGCAGGATCGATCAGATTGATCCTAGGACATAGGTTGATTTTGAAGTTTGATTAAATTGGATAAGGCTTTAAATAAAAAGGTTTCAAGTAAATTGCATGAAGGAAAGATTTGGTAAAATAAACAAGGCTTAAAGTAAAGGGTTTCGACAGGAAATGTAAAGAGAAAAGCAAGTAAAATTCTGGAAAAGTAAATGACTTTAATTGATAAAATTGGTGTTTCACACATACATTTCTCAACAATTCTTTCTCACACGCTGGGTACTCGAATCTATATGAGTGACTTTGTATAGAATTGTGAACACACGCGAGAAACTACATGTCTACTCCTATTTATACTAAAACATCCCAAGTAACCGTCGGGCAGTTACACTGCTTCGAGATCAATCCACTTGGCACGTTCTCCATGCTCGACGCTCCAGATCCTTGCACGTTTGCACGTGGTAACTGCTGGAAACCGTTTTCCCTCCAAAAGCTTGAATTTCAAACTGCTCCACTCTGAACCATCGAACACTTTCGTCAAGAGACATCTTCGACGAGAAACTCCTTCGACGTCGAAGGCAATCAGCCTTCTTCCTTGGAAGAAATATTCTAAGTACTTTGCCATCTTTCGACGGGCATTTCGACAGACTTAACCAGTCGAAGACATCCTTCAGCTTTAATGGCTGACATCAATCAAAACAAAGGTGTCGAATTTAGGAGCCAACAAATTGCCCCCCAAGAATGCCTTATTTCGACTCTGAAAGAAAAAGGCATTCTTTGAAACGCCATTCGACACCTGTCTTTCCACGCTTAGTCACAAATTAACTTGTGCACTTTTTGTTGCTTTTTACCAACTATTGGCAATCCCAAGGAAACCATCATTGTTCCGTACCTAGGACGTCACTTTCAGTACGGCGTGCAGTACCAAACGTCATTTCAGAATTTGTCATTATGACAATTCCCAAAAACGAGGACGCACGCTGCGTCCCTCTATTTCTGCAGAAACGGCCAAAACAACAGGGGGCTGCCACGCGTCCCACTAACTCCTGCAGCATTAAATGGCATTTAATGTCCTCGTTATTGGGGATTTTTCCCACTACTATAAATAGTAGTAAGTACCCCCTTGTGGGACTTTTTACGCCATCTAGCCTTTCAAACTTCTCAAGCTTGTTATCTTTGCAGAAACTCTTCCTCTTTCACTTCATCTTCAACCTCATTTCAAACAATGGCCTCTGCTTCTACTGCTCCCAGTGCCAACGCACCAACTGAACATGCTAAACCCAAGGTTTTCGTCACTGCCCCGGTAGTAAACTCCACAGGCAAACGAAGGGTTCCTGAACCTTCTGACATCGCCGTTCGCGACGCCTACTCACGCCACTTGATGATCCCGGTTGGATACTCCAACCAGATCTTCGCAATGTCTGGCCCCATGAATCCAAGTATCTCTGAAGCTCTGAAGATCAAGAGCTATTTCCCAATAGTCGAGAAACTCAAACCAGTAGCATGCGCCAAGAAAGACGCAGAAGACAATGAAGACCCTGCACGCGAAAAAATCGACCTCCGCTTCTTCAACAGAGGTGTTAGGGTCTTCAGGTCTTGCCCTAATCTTACCTCCGATTATGTTGCTTGGCTAACAAAGTTGGAGAAGCACCAAACTTCGATCTGGAAGGATATGGGAATCTTCGACCTAGTGATGCTGTCGAAGACGGGTTTGAACTACTCCCCGGAGATGCTGATAGCTTCACTGTTGTTCTGGGACTACTCCCATTTTACTTTTCACCTTCCCTGTGGGATGCTAACCCCCACACTCTTCGATGTGGCAGCTATTACTGGCCTTCGACCAACCGGGGATTACTTCGATCCGGAGGAGATGTCGGAGGACCAAATTGGCTTCTCTGAGACCAAACCAACATACACCACTTTCATCAACCATTATCACGACAGGTCGACAGATGCTGTG